GCTATGGTGATAAACCACTTTACTTAAATAGCATGTATTTTTCTTAAAATTCAGAGAAATGGTAACAGTTTCTAGTAATCATGCACTGGTATTAACTTGCAGGAATATGCCTAGAGCTTACAGGTTTTGCATCCATTATCACCAGATGAGTTCATCAGGTTAAAGTTATGCCAGTGAATTATGAAATATGTATATTTAGCCCAATTTTCTTGTTACATATCTCCCTTTGCACACATGGAGCTTCCTTTTCAAGATTAATAATACGAGCTGGAGAAATCAGCCAAGGGTGCTGAATTACAAAAAAGGTGGAACTGGAGGGGACCTTGTAAGGTCATCTTTTCCATCATTCTGCCTGCAGTAGGACTGACTGTTCTTCAAGAGTCCTAAATGGCAAGAGTCTGTCAAAGATGAGGAACAACGGAAATGATGCTTAGGGCAGCCTCTGGTGTAACCATCCTGGCAGCAGCCTTTAAAGGTGCCAACTAGCTACACAGTGCCAACATCTCCCCTTCTTCATTTTATAGATTGTGATTATGTCTATTTATGTGTATATCATCTCATTTTTATACTGAAGAACTTTTTTATAAAGAAACCTTCACCCATTAATCATATTAGTAGTAAGTTTTCAATCCTTCTCTGGTCTTTTTAACCAGTCTATTTAAACTGGTTGCAATGTTTGAGGTGTGAATTCTTCATGATTTCATATAAGGAATAGAATATTTTTCTTGGATTTCTGAGACGCTTTCTAAGATTTTCATGTTCATTGTACATTATGCCAGTATCTTCAGAGAACAGTCTACAATGATTTGTAGATCCTCTCTTGGAGTGAAAAGAATGGCCAACGGAGTCATATTGATCATTTAGACTCCCTCTAGAACTGAATGTTAAGATTTTTCTGTCATCTTTCTCTCCCTTTGTACAACCTTACGGGAGCTCATCGTCTTCTATTTGCCTTTCATGACCTAGAAGATCTTAGTAACTCCTATAGCCTTGGCAATTTCATTTTTCATTTCTCTGTCCTATTACTTACAAAACTGTAAAATTGCACCAGTGATAACATAGATCCCAGAGGAATCCCATGAGTTATGAAAGAAGCAGCAGAAACCTAAAACTTAGTGTATAATCTACAAAAGAAATCCCTGAAAAATTAAGATTTGTTCATGTTCCTAGAGAAAAACCTGGAAGCTGGAATTTACCTTGACCATTTGAGTTCCAAGGAGGTAAGAGACTTGATTCTTTGGCCACCATGAGGGCCAGCTTATATTCAGATTCTGTTAGCACTGGAGAACAGTTTCACTGAGATATTTAAGAGGGGAGATGCAGAGGCTTTAGGAAATCTCTTATGATTCTGATTTCTAAAAATGGCATCCTAAACTTAATGCAACTGTAAATTAGCAAACAGAAATGCTGAAGTGCACACACACACACACACACACAAAATATTTTACAAGGTATACACAAATATACAGAAGTATCTGTGTTTGCAATAAGATTTACATAAGGATAAATAGATTTGCATTGAAGTTACTAGGAAGTGAAGAAACAAGCAGTGTGATTTGTTTCAGTGCAGCCAATTTTAGGCCAAATTTGGAACACAATTAAAATATGGTTGACCATATTAATTTTAACATGTATCAATTACCAAATTGAGAAAGAAAGAAGGAAACTATCTTTTTTGTATAAGTTAGTACAACTGCAATAGAAGGCAAAATGGTAGTATCTCAAAATTACAAATTTATATACCTATTTCACCCCAGAGTTCCACTTCTAAAATATATATCCTGTAGATAGATATACTTACATGTGTACAAAATGACACAAGTTCAAGATTATTCAGAACATCGTATTTGTGTGAATAAAAGATTGGATATAATCTCAATGCCCTCTGTGAAGAGTCTGGCTAAATAAATTATGATACTGTATTCAAGATATTGGTATTCAAGAGAATACCAAGAATACCCCCACTCATGATAGTTCTACTTATAGATGTGTTACTTGACAATGGTGTAAAGCCATACACATTCAGTAGAAACCATACTTCAAATTTTAAAATAGGACATTCTGTTTTTTACTTGCAATACAGCATTCGGTGAAGTACATGAGATATCAACATGAACATCCATAGACTTTTTGTTTGATCATTTAGCCCAACTTTGGGCTAATATAAGTGTTCTGAGCATGTTTAAGATACGCTAGCCTAAGTATGATGTTAGGTGCATAAAAGGCAACTTTGACTTAAGATATTTTCAACTTAGGATGGGTTTATCAGGACATAAACCCATCGTAAATTGAAGACGCTCTGTATTGTCATAAAAAAATCTTCATGATGATCATTAGTGAAAAAAATCAAGGTATAAAAAAAGTTTACAGTGGGGTGCCATTTGTATAAAAATGGTAGAAAAAGATACATCCATGTATGGATGTAAATTGAGCCATATGAAATTGCCTTGGTTAGACTGTTTTTGACTTGCACAAATAATGACTAATTCCATTTGGTTCCACCTAATATTTGCTTGAAGGTGCGCAAAAATTCACAGGAATATACACTATAAATCATAATATTGGTTGTCTTTGATGGAGAGCAGGACTGAACTAACTAGGGGACATGAAGGAGATTTTGAACTTTCTGAATATTAAATCATGGGAACATACTACTTATTTAAAAATAGATCAGGGGCCTCCCCGCTGGCACAGCAGGTTGAGCGCAGCGCTGTGAAGCTGTCCACAGCCTCTGCTGCATGGGTTTGATTCCTGGCCACCCAGATTGATTCCCACCCAGATTGATTGGCTTGGCAGACCTCTCCTGTCTCGCCCACTGCTCCCCTCAGCAGTGTCTTCGGTCCGTCTGCCTGTTCTGCTCCTCACTCTGTCTCCGGTGAATCCTCTTACCCTCCCGCACCTCTGGCCTGTACCCCAGCTTTTGTATAAAAAAATGAAACAAATATTACGTTTCTATGCTGAAGCAATCAAACATTTTGGTTTAGTTTCCTTTTTCCTCCCATTTGCCATAAAATTCTGAGAATTTTCTTAAAATATCTTATCCAAGAAGAATTTTCTTAAAGTATCTTATCCAGATTCCCTCATGTTTTCAAGGAAAAAAATCTACCTCACTTATTCTACCCAGAAAGACTATTTCAGAGCATTTCTTCCTGGTAACTGCAACTGCTGAGTCCATGTTAATGACTCAAGTACATTAACAAATGGAACAGTAAAAAGGAATGGAAACATTAAACCAGATATGAATATGATCACATTAAAAAGACAATGACCGTGTTTCTATTCCTATTCTGTAGAATATTAGTTGTAGTGGACGTGTTGAAAAATTATTTCCTCAACTGCTTGGATGATAACTCTAGAGGTGGAAATGTCAAAAGAGAGGGTTACACTTAGATTCACCTTATAATAGGGTTTGTATGTCAAGTGAATTAAATTTTTATGAATTGAATTTTCTAAGATAGATTTTATGTCTTGGGTGCCCATGCTGTGCTAAACAAAGCAACTTATCTTTAGCCAGATACTAGAACATTAGTGTTGTACACACCCTATAAGAAGTTTTTAATGAAAGGATACAATCCTATATTACTGGATATTTTCTATTCCTTGAAAGAATTCAGAGAAGCAAGCTAGAAATTTTCTTGAGAAAAAAAAATTGTACAGAAATTTTTCACATTTCAAAATTTATATAAATTAATCTTTCAATGTATAAAATTATCAGCTTAAGAATTAGTATACAGGATTGTAAAGTCATATATGAGTGATGTTCTGAAGAGACACATATTTAAGAGTTGTCTCTTAATTATAAGAGTTCTAATAAGTGGATATCAGGTAAATTTTTTCTTAAAATATTTGTATCAAAAATCATAAGTGACATGAATTTGCTGCAACCCTGGGAGATCATTTATTCATTGGACAAAATATACATTAAGTGCTGCCTACTACTGTGTATAAAATGTGGCCTCTTATATCACAAGAGCCTGTGTGATCAAAGAAACACCAGATTTGTTTTGTGTTACATGTAATCTTTTCACACTTTTTGAAAATTGTTAACCTGACTTTTAACTCATATTAGCCAGTATTAAACGGATGAGCCTTTTCCCAGATAATTCTGAGTACACAAGAGCTTGCTGTGGCTGTCCCTCCGCCCCAGCCCCCCTCCTGCCTGCATAGGTCTCCTGAGATGCGCTCTGCTCTTTCAGAACTCTGTGTTCAGCTTCATTTAATTAGAAGTGATCACTTTTAAAATAGGTCTAAGGTCAAAATGGACTCTGCTTCCTCATGACAGCAGGACTAGAGACCGCTTTCTTCTCTACTGTGGGGTGAGGTGACCTGAGAAAATACAGTCACCTATTAAAATCCTTTCTACTTGTTTTGTGCTTTAAAGCTCATGCAGTAATTTGCTGGCCACCACCTTCATTTATTCTCATAATAAAGCCATGTGGTAAAGGTGCAGAAATGCCATTTTCCCTATTTAATAGTGAGGCACTGAGACTCAAAGAAGTCAGTAGACCTGGCTAAATGGTGTGACTGGGTTTAGAAACCCATCCCTGGAATCATGCAGAGAACAGATAGAAAGTAGGGAGTGGGCACCTCCAGGCTCTCTGTACCCAGGCTAGAGTAATCATGACATGTTTGTCAGGGAATCCACACCAATGTCAGAGTTTGTCTAGAAATCTGTAAAGATGAAACGAGTATAGCTGTATACAGGTGGACATCCCGGTACCAATATTACCAGATTTTTCATTTAGCATGGCAGAAGATTCAAAATTTTGCCCACAATTTTCTTTACGCCAGACTCTCAACAATTCAGTTTTCTTGAAGATGCTAAAGGAACTTTCTTTGGCAGCTCATAGCAGTTTTACATTGTGACTAGTTTGTGTCCGGTGCCTAGAGAGAGCCCCAATTTGCAAAACCTGCACAACCTTGCAGTTCCTTGCTTCTTTGAATTGATGTATATTGCTTCATGTCTGAAAATTAATACAGGCCATTTCTTTTATTTCTAGCCCACTGCTTATGTAAAGACATTAACTGTGACCAAAACGAAAGAAAATGTAGATAACTTGGACACTACGTTTTCAAGTTCCACATCTAGCAGACTCATTCCAACTGGATTCAGGGGAGAAACAGAGAAACCCAAGGTGACTTCAAACCAAGGAATGACAACCAAAATCACTACTAAATCTATTGCCCTGCCTAGAACCAAAAAGAAACTCTAAGCTTCCCTCCAACGCTGGGTAGTACAAAGACAGAATTGCTCTTTCCAGTGCCAAAATGAGGGGATTGGAGGGAGGAAAGGACAGTGCTATGCTGAACTTAGTCTTTTACCTCCACTGAGCCCTGCTGTGTTTGTACCAATTTAAAATTGAAGCCAGTTGTTTCCAAAGCAGCGCAATGTTAAAGGACAGCCACCAGCAGGCGTGATGGGGGGAGGCTGCAGCTGAAACCAACCCAAGATGTTTTCAGAGTTGTTTGGAAGGGCAGATTCCCTCAAGGCAAGGCTGTGGGCACGCTTGCTCAGCTTCACTTCAGATTCTTTTATTTAGGCACAATTATTTATGGTAGAAAATGAGAGCCAAACACGGTCATGGAGGTTCCAAATAATTATGTGCAGTTTGCACAGGAAGACTTTGTTAGGAATTACTAATAAACTTGCCATAGGCATAACAGAAGTGCTTCAGTCATTCACATGTGTTCTTGTGATTTTAGGTTGCTATAGATTGGTTAAGACAACTTATTTTAAGCATAGAAATATAGGATATTTTGTAATTGCTTGCTATTAACTTGCTGCTAAATTCCCGATGTATTGATTGAATCAATAAAAAAAAAAACAGATACTACCCATGCACGTTAATTTTTGTGTTAACAAGAGGTGAATATAATAAGGTCCTCTTAGCCCTATGCAAATTATAGCTTGGCCTGCTGCAGCAAAGGTAGGCACACATCTTTGGAGGAGGTCATGAGGCCTGATACAAGGGAAAAATACACCATAATTCTTAGTATTATAGGTATCTCTTTCTACCTGGGTAAATCATTTTGCTACTTGAGATCAAACTGGGCAAGTAGATGCTTCCCTTAGCCTTCCAAACAAATTCTGAAGAAATATTTGCATTTACTTTTATCTTTTTAAAGTAGTAACCAGATCCATGAAGTTGTCCATTAGGCCCACACCTGGCCAGCTGAGCATGTACAAGTTGCATATGAATCCACTCAGTGCCTAAGGTAGTAGGTGTGCTTCTGTAGATTAATTTGGAGGACACTCTTGTGCTTCTGAATGGGTCAAAGATAACACTGACATGCGTTGCCCCTGACTGAGTGGTTCTGCCAGTATTTTCTTAGTGCCTTCAATGTGCTTCCCCTGTGGGAATCTGCCAGTTCAGTGTGTCTATTTTTAATTGTGTAGACTTTATTTTAAAACCAGACTTGACATAGTTCCTTCAAGGTCTTTCTCCCTTCCTGAGTACTACTTCCAGTCCTATTAGGAACTTGTAAACCACCTCTTGAGCTTTAAGCCCTCTCTCGGTGCAGTGAACCAGTCTTTGAGGAACAGCTTCTGTTTATCGTCCGAGAAGACCAGCTTCAGTGGTTAAGTGAAGATTTCCTTTCCTTAGTAGTATTCCCAGAGGTAGAGGTGGGAGCTACCTGTTGTTTTACTTGCAGAAAAGCCACCGGAGAGAGTGACTTTGATTCTGTCTATCCTCTGGGCCTGAAAATAGAATATTTACCATATTCAAGATACTCTTTGTAAGGGCAGGACATGGGCACAGGTGCAGGTTTTCTGATCCCATGCAGACCGGGTAAAGGAGGAATCAGAGTCCTCAGTAGTTTTGCAGGTTTTTTATTTGGGGTTCACCAGGCATATGGCAGGCAGGGGTGCTGGCTGGGGGACTGGGAGGCTGGCACGCCTCCCAGCCCCCAGCAAGTCTTCACTCTATCTGGGCTCTCTGGCGTTCTCTGCTTCTGCTTCGGCTTCTCCTTCAGGTTCTGCTGCTGCTGGCTGGGGCTGCTGGCGTCCCCCCGTGACGCCGCCCTTAAAAGCACAGTCTTAGCTCAGCTGAATCCCATCTACCTATGCCCACACCCTATTCCAGGTGCCCACCATCAGGCATGCATTCAGGACAAGGATCCATCATCTATCCTGATGGCGGAAGGGCAGAAAAGCCTGACATTTTCTTTACCCTACAGTCCACCCCCTCAGGGTTTTCTGCCATACAGTCTATACATATATAAGCAATTTTCTAAGCAAACAAACAATGCAGCCATGGCCCACAAAAGCAAATACATCAAATATAACAAAATACAATATAACAAAATACAACAGAACACATAAGTCCAGGCAGGGCACCAACCAAGTGCAAAAGACAATTATTGGTACCAGCAGATGAGCCACCAAATCTGCTGCCGAAGGCACTGCTCATACGAGGGAGGGGAATCACTCACGGCATCTACTATATCACACCAGGAGCCGTCAGGCTTCCTGGCCTTCTCTGGCTGTAGTCTCGGCTACAAGGCACACACAGCATCCACCCCCAGGATGCACTAGCTCTGGGATTGGCAATTTTATTCTGTTGGAGGTAATCGCCAACCCTCAGGGTTTCTGTCTGCAGTCGCTCCAACACTCGGCCTTCACGGCCACCAATGCGACTCACAGACCCCTGCACTCAAGCCAACCCACTGCACAATCACATGGGTCGGGGATCCAAACTCTGCATTCGTTTTGGGCTCCACCCCAAGCCACATTCCCCACCCATCCCCCAAGGACAGGTTCCTCAGCTCCTCACCCTCGCTCAAGAATGAGCAGGGCATCACCCACAGGTGATTTTACGAGACTCACAGTTCTTCAGCATACCCAGGCTGCTTAACAGCCGCTCAGGGCTTCTCAACTTATCATCAGTACCAGCTTTTGCTTTCTTAGTTGGCTTTTCTCCTCCACCTGGCTGCTGGGCATACACAGGCTGCTTTTGGCCATCTAGGCCCACTGGCCACCCCTAGATTCCCATCTCCTGGGGTTTACAAACAAAACTGTTCCATCCCCAGGGTCCCAAAACATATCAACCTGCAAGGTCCTCCGCCTTCTGGCGGGATTGTCAGTCCAAGTCCATCAGTTCAAGTCCATTGGCCTCTCCCTGCGTCAGCAACGGCCTGCTGCCTCAGGGGTCATTGGCTGGTCCTTTCCGGTGTTGGTGGCTGGTCCTTTCCGGTGTCGTTGGCTGGTCCTTTTGGGCGTCTCCTTCACGCCAGGTCTCGTCCTGTAGCTCGTGGGCGTTGTTCACCTTCTGTGCCGCCATGGCGCCTCCAGCGTCATCACAGGCAAACAGTCTGTTCTCCTTAGTCCCTCCAGGTCTTCGGAGGGCTCCAATACACGTCTGCATGGATCTTGCTGACTTACGCCAATTGTAAGGGCAGGACTTGGACACTGTGCAGGTTTTCTGATCCCATGCAGACCGGGTAAAGGAGGAGTCAGAGTCCTAAGTAGTTTTGCAGGTTTTTTATTTGGGGTTCACCAGGCATATGGCAGGCAGGGGTGCTGGCTGGGGGACTGGGAGGCTGGCAGGCCTCCCAGCCCCCAGCAAGTCTTCACTTTATCTGGGCTCTCTGGCGTTCTCTGCTTCTGCTTCGGCTTCTCCTTCAGGTTCTGCTGCTGCTGGCTGGGGCTGCTGGCGTCCCCCCGTGATGCCGCCCTTAAAAGCACAGTCTTAGCTCAGCTGAATCCCATCTACCTATGCCCACACCCTATTCCAGGTGCCCGCCATCAGGCATGCATTCAGGACAAGGATCCATCATCTATCCTGATGGCGGAAGGGCAGAAAAGCCTGACATTTTCTTTACCCTACACTCTTACTTTTGTGTCCTTTGTATCATGAATTGGAGAATTCTGTTAAATTGAGTGCTATCTAAATTTAGATGGGGAATTGTGTCTAAATTTATTGTCTAAATTTTCTACTATCTAAATTTTTGCCCATGTTTCTCTTTGGTCTTAAGTTAGTGATTCCATTCAGTAAGCTTGAGTAAAGGTCCAGGACTAAGCACTAACTGAAAAGTGAAATCATTTTATAAATTTTGAGTCTGTTTTTACTTTTACCCAACCCTTCATCAGGCCAAGCCTGATGTGGGATTTTTCATTTTATTTTTACCATTTTATTTGTATGGAATGCATTTGGGCCAGGAATGGAATGCATCTGAGCTTTGTTTCCCAACTTTTATTCATACCTCTTTAATATCTAGGGATATATGGCTTTGCTTTCTCCATTTGTTTTCATGGCTGTGGGAAAAACAAATAGCTCTTCTCTTTCAGGTTGGTTTTCCATGACCTAGAGGTCAAACCCAAGGTATTGATAACAGTGGCTATGACCCCTCCTGAGCATCTTGGCTGTGATCTGGAGGGACACACTCGGTCTGGGACAGAACAGAGCAGGTGCTGTTTCCTAGGAATGCAAATGCTGGTCAACTCTCTGACTTGAATAGCAGGCAAGTCAGGCAGGGCGGTGTATGATAAAAGAGACAAATGCGGCCAGGAGTTCAGCTGAGGTGACAGAAGATGGTATCAGAGAAGAACATAAATCAGAGGAAAAAAAGAAGCAGGGCATGAGGCCGAGACAAAAACCAAAGTGTAATTAACACAGAGCACTGATTGGGTGACAGCATGTGACTCTCCCAAACCCGTAAGCACACTCCGAGGAGGGAGGTGCTGGCCACAGAGCGCTTGTTGCTCCAGGTCAGTCGGGGCCCTCCTCTGGCCTGGCCCAGACATACCCCGATGAAGACACAGGCTGAGGAGACCAAGCCCTGGGGAAATGGAAGCTGAGAGAGGCTATGATTTCAAGAATCGATTGCCAAATAGTTCTTACATTTTGAGAAAGAATGTCATGTGATATTGAGAGGGGGAAAGGAGGAAAAAATCAAAATAATTTGTGCTTATCACTAAAATGTTTTGTTTAAATAATTCTATTTGACTCTGAAATATAAGTTCCAGGTTAGACAGATTAAAAGCAGCCAGTCTTGAAAATGAAGCTTTTTAAATTCCAGCCCTGCTGTTGGAATAGAAAATAAAGGCTTTGTTCAAACATGCATTCCCAGCAGTAAGCAGAGCTTTGAAATTAGCCAGGGAAGTTGTGTCCCATAATGGCTGCACTTGGCTGGAGGCCAAAAAGCTGTGGCCTCTGGGAAATAACCCAAGGCTGGATATTTTCCATCATCCCCTCAGAACCACTCTGCCTTGCTCAGGCCTCTCCACTCAGGCTGATCTTTAGGAATGGTGTTAACAGACTCTGCTGGCCAGTGGATCTGTTGGGAGTCTGTTGGTGGGAGAGCCAGCTGCGGTTCATGATGCCCCAGCACCTGCTGTGCTAGGCCGCTGGGAGTTTACTGCCTTGTCCTTTTGCAGGCTTCAGCCCCCACCGCAGCCCTCTCTCAAAGCTTTGGCCTGCACTGTGTCTTCCTCTATGGGTTTCCCTAAACCCTCACAGTACCTTTATGAAGAGTCTTTTCATTAAACTCTTAGCTACCTCCAGGGACTGTCTCCTGGGACCTAAGGTCATCCAGACCCTGTCCTTGTCAGTGCTGTGTTATCTTGACCTGGGGAAATTTTGTCTGTGATGCCAATCTCCTACAATGAAGAGTAAAATGAAGAAGAGAAAACCTACATGAGTGCTTCCTGAAACCAGCAGATGCACAGTGTTGTCACTAAGGGTAGCAATGAGTCTCCCCTGAGGTTAGAACCTAAACCAAGCAAGATAAATCTAGCATTGCCCCACTGAATCTGAATTTGTCGAGCCCTAGAAGGTTTGCGTTTAGGTCTTAAACTCCAACCATGACTTTCGGGAGCCTGAAGAAAGCAACACTTGGCTTGTAACAGCCTGG